GGAAAGCATTTCTAGCTTGCCCTGAGCCATTATTTCAAGGTTGCCATTCCCCTCCCCCCCAAAAAAAAAGTACAAATAGTCTCCTTAAAATACGTGGTTTGCCACATTTTTAAGATTCCCCGCAACCAAGCGCTGTCATGAGATCCCCAGTCTTCTCAGGTAAGTAGTAAAGAGCACAGGTCTCATTAAGAGCAGAAAAGAAGTGAGCCTTAATTAAGGCAACTGAGCTAGTCAGGCCTGCTCCTTAATACAAATGCATTTTCCAAGAAAGGGGAAAAAAAAGCAACAGACAGCAATGGATGTTTTAAAACAATCATTTTCCTGTCTCCTTGAAGAAAGCTGTTTTCAGTGCATTAGGATCACAAGCAATTTAAAATTGTATTTGGGACTCATTGCAAACATTTTAATTGAAAAGAGCTCTGATGTAAGTGATACATTTTCTGTGCAAATAACACGAGTGATTAATCAAGTGTGTGCAGCCAGGACGGTGGTCAGGATGTTTGTTCTGATTGGGCCGTTTGTCTGATTCTTCTGCGGCTTGGGCCTTGAGTTTGAATAGGGTAATTAGAAATAGAAGGAGGAAAGGCAAACTCATTCTGTCTGTCCAGTTCATTTTGCTGTTCTGTTCAGAACATGGCAGAGTGGCTGGCCTGGATCTGAGCCCGCTCATACTACTGTTTGCTTTGCAAATCTTTATTTATGTATTTAATTTGAATATAGCTAATGGTGTGAGTACATGTAATAATAACAATATGCTTATCATAACATGAGCTAGCTGATGCAATGGATAGCATGCTGGGCTTAGAGTCAGGAAGACCTGAGAGGGTCAGACACTTACCAGCTGTGTGGTCCTGGGTAAAGTCACTTAACCTTTGCTTTCCTCAGTTTCCTCAACTGTAAAATGGGGATAATAAGAGCACCTACCTCCCAGGGTTGTTGGGAGGATGAGATAAGGCAGTATTGGTAAAGCTCTTAGCACAATACTTTCTTCCTTCATCATCATCATCATCATCATCATCATCGGATAGGATCTGGATCTGTGATTTCACTGGTGTAAGAAACTCTCAGTTGAGAAAACGCCCCCTCCCAATGCCCCTTCTCTGGAATGTCTCTTCTTATAGAGTTGCTGGGAGATGGGGGGAATCAATCTCCAATAAAAGAGGGGATGTGGAACCATCTGTAGGGATCTCTGGAGGTTGCAGGTTGACTTTCAAGACCTCATGTATTTATATATTTCTTTTTTTCCCTCAATATGGCAACACATTAAATCAGATAAGAACTGCATTTAAATCTGATTTAAGTCACATTCAAGAATGTTGTAGGCAGCATGCAGCTTAGAAGTCTGACCCCTTATGTCAGAGGTAGAACCTGAAGACTTCCTGCTATCTACAGTGCTATAATACCTGATAATAATCATAATCATAATCATAACCATAATATTTATATAGTGCTTTAATTGTTGTTCACTCATTTCAGTCACGTCCAACTCTCTGTGATCCTGTTTGGGGTTTTATCTACTACAGTAGTTTTCCATTTCCTTCTCCAGCTCATTTTACAGATGAAGAAACTGAGGTAAACAAGGTAAAGTGACTTGCCCAGGGTCACACAGCTAGTAAGTGTCTGAGGCTGGATTTGAACTTGGGTCTTTCTTATTCCAGGCCTGGCACTCTATCCCTAGCTGCCCACTTTAATGATTATGAAGCACTTTATGTACATTTGAACCTTGTGAGGTAGGTACGTGTAGAGGAGTGGTTCTAGATCCCATAATTTTATCAAGATGAGGGAACCACCAGTATGGAAACTCCGTCCACTGGAACAGATAGGCAACGAGGTTAAGGGACCTGCCCATGACCACAAAGTAAACGTGTGAGGCAAGAAGTGATGCCAGATCTTTCTAACTCAAAGCTCAGCACTCCCCTCACCACACCATGATGCCTCTCTTGCACTGGTATGTATGGGGGCCTGTTCATCTATATATCTCCAAAGCACAGGAAAGCCCAGATTCTAATCCTTTCCCTGACTTCCAGTGGCTGTGTGGTGCTAGGCAAGTCACCTAGCCAGTACCCCAGGCAACCCTCTAATACCAGAAGTGGCAGAAGAGTTGCTAAGCAGTAGCTGTGAAAGGTGCTTTTCTTTTTCACTAAAGTCTCCCACTTCAACAAAATCATAGGTCTGGAACAAATTGTGTGTGTGTGTGTGTGTGTGTGTGTGTGTGCGCGCGCATGCATATATGTGTGTATAACATATATCATACACACATATATAGTATAATACATAGATAGAGACAGGTGATAAAGATAAATGGATGGATGAGATAGAGAGATAGATGGATGGACAAGTGATAGAAGTAGATGATAGGTGAAACAGAGATAGAGAGACAGGTGATAGATGGATGGGTGGATGGATGGGTGATAAGATAGATAACATAGATAAGATAGAGATAAATGATAGATAAATAGATTAAGCTAGAGATGACAGATCTCAGAAGTAGAGCAAAGGAGATTAGATAGATAGATAGATAGATAGATAGATAGATAGATAGATAGATAGATAGATAGATGTAGATGATAGAAAGGTGATATATATCTAGCTCCATCTATCTATCTATCTATATATATATATTTACATATGTATATATGTGTGTGTGTATAGATATATATATGTACATATATATATATATATATATATATAGAGAGAGAGAGAGAGAGAGAGAGAGGGAGAGGGAGAGAAAGAGAGAGAGAGAGAGAGAGAGAGAGAGAGGTGATAGAGAGATGGATGGATAGATGGGTGAGTGGATGGATGGATGATAAGATAGATAACATAGATAATATAGAGATAAATGAGAGAGAGAAAGAGAGATCTCTCCATAGACTAAATCACTGCCATTGGCTCATTTTGCCCCCAGTCTGGGAACCTCAAAAATATTTTACCCTGGAAGTCTCAAAAAACATTCAAGGCTGGAGCAGCGAGGTGACACAGTGGATAGAGCACCAGCCCTGAAGTCAGGAGGACCTGAGTTCAAATCCAGCCTCAGACCAAACACTTGACACTTACTAACCGTGTGATCCTGGGCAAGTCACTTAACCCCAATTGCCAAAAAAAAAAAAATACCATTCAAGGCTCCCACAGGAAACTCTTAATCGAGGCAAAATGCCCCAAAGACAGTAGTTTGCAGGTCAAGCCTTCCCACAAGACTTAATCCAGTTCATATGAGCCCAAAGCCTGAGGTGTTGATCTGTGTGGGTTCCATTAGCAGTACAACCCTGAGCATGACAGCTAACCACCGTAAATCTCAATTTCATCACAGAGCAAGAGATTATAAAAACAGCCCAGGACTGTTGTGAGTTTGTAAACCTTAACATGCTAAAGATGTGGGAGTTGTCATTATTAGATGGTCAACCCCGGAGACTGATAGTACCTCCATGGAACCCACACTTATTTGTATAGCTGCATGTACATAAGGAGATGTATATAATACCCGCATCCATATGTGCACTGTTCATCCCGAAGTCATTGTCTTCACAGCATAAAAGTGATTTTGTTTTCTTTGAGAAAAGCCAAGGAGACGCTAAGTGCCATACATAACATATGGAGGACTGGGATGGCTGCAATGTGTCTATAATCCATTGTTCTTTTCTTTTTGACAAGCTGAATAATCCATTCAATATTTCTCCAAAGGCTAAATGGAGCCTTTAAAAAGTGTGATTCACAATTGGAAGATAGGAATTATAAGTGTTTACATCTTGAGCATGCACCTTGTTGATGGATCTTGAGAAGGCAGCACTCAGGCCCAGGCTTGCTTTGGGAGATTGGTGGCGTATGGGGAGCTCCTTTGTATTTTGCCCGAACATTAAGCACACACCTTTGCATTTCTGCCTCTTTGTGGGATCCCATTGCTGCATAATGAACAGCAATCTATTTTACTTCCAAGTTTTTGCTGACAAACAGAATACCTACAAAGCTGTTGCATATTTGAATAATCATGAGTTTATTTTGGAGGAAGACTGATGGATTTTTTTTCTCTTCCTGGAATTGTCCTTCTGCATTTTCTCCCTGGACCTTCTGGTGGATGCCGTTTGTTGTTTTGTTTTGTTTTTTAAAGAAAAAATATTTATTCAGAACTTCATTTTGATTTAATAGAAAAATGGCCCTTGCTGAGGCCATATGGAATACTCATTTTTCTCTCGTGCAGACATGTGCCACATAAATGCCACAGCCTCTGCTTTCCTCCAGCATTCTTTGAGGACAAGGAGGGAAACAAAACCTTGTCTGAGATTAATTTCTGGCTCATGCTTTCCTTTTAAAATGGCTGTTTTTCATTGCCATTTAAAGAGGGCCTTGTGATCAATTCCCCTTCCCAGCATGCATGACTGAACGAAGGTGCTCTAGCATGTCAGCTCCACACATGTAAAGTAATTGAACCCCAAAGGAAATGGAAGTTCTTTGTTTGCAATGTGCCTTTCCTTCCTTCTTTCTTTTTCTTTCTCTTTTTCTTCTCTTTCTTTCTTCTCACCAGAGCTTTTCCAAAAATTTGACTTATAAATACAAATGATTTGGGAAACCCAGATAGAGTAATTGAACCCCAAAGGAGATAGGACAGAAATCATTAATGTTTTGAGCTGAGCTTTTCCTTCCTTTCTTCTTTCTTTTCATTCTTTTTCTTCTCATTCTCTTCCTTCTTTCTTTCTTCTTTTCTGCTCACTAAAGCTTTTTTCAAAAATGTGTCTTAGAAATACAAATGATTTGGGAAACCCAGGTAAAGTAATTGAACCCCAAAGGAAATAGGACAGAAATCATCTATGCTTTGAGCTGCATTTTTCCTTCCTTTCTTCTTTCTTTCTTTTCCTTCTTTTTCTTTCTCATTCTCTCCCTTCTTTCCTCTTTTCTGCTCACCAGAGCTTTTTCCACAGTGTCCTTAGAAATGCAAATGATTTGGGAAACCCAGGGGACCTCTTTTTTTTTAACATTAAACAATAAGGACTTTTGTTTGTGTCTTTCAGGTTGGGCTAATTGAAGACTTTCTATACCAATTAGAGGATAGTTTCTTAAAAACCAAAAAACTGAGAACAGCCAGGAGGCAGAAAATGAAAATGAAGCGGCTTCAGAGTGTACAGCAGTGCTAGTCACTGGAGACACAGAGCCCCCTCCTTCCCCCCACCCCAACCCACCAACCACGACATCCCCAAGGAAGAGGTGCAGACATCCAGGCAGTTGGGGTTTGACAGCTGGGACGACAAAGGCCTTCCTTTCGATGAATGAGGTGGCTCTTCCCTCTGGCTCATCTTGAGCAAGGAGATTCCACACTTCATTAGTCTCAGCTGGCAGAAATAAATGTTCTCAGAAAGTTTGACTCGGTTCTTGTTCACATTCGTCTTGTTTATTTAAATAGCTTAGAGAATAACCATGAGCAAAGCTCACTCACCCACTGTGCCCTTTCTACAGTACAGTGGACTTTCACCAAAGTACACACAGAGCCCTGCTAGTCCCATTAAGATGCATTCATGTTAGCACATGGGATTGTATATTTGGCACTGGAAGGGACCTTAAAGGTTACTGAGTATACCCTCTCCATCCATTTTATTGATGAGAAAACTGAGCTGCATAGAGGTTCAGTATGCTAGCTAGCTGGCAAATAACATTTTATACTTGCAAATCTCTTTATATATATCATCTCCTATAAGTGACTTGCCCAGAGTCACAAAGCTAGTAGCTATGTGAAGTAGGGTTTGATGATGTTATTTTTTTCAACAGGGCTTTCAATAGTGCTCTTTCTACTATACCATGCTGCCCCTCTCTCTATACATGAATAAACAGCACAGAAGTAAATTTAAAATCACACAGATGATCATGATAGGCTATGGAGTTTATCAGCTAGAGCCAGCCTCAAAGGCAGGGAAGACCCGGATTAAAAGTTGTGCCTCTGAAACATGCAATCTGGAAGACCCTAGACAAGTCATTTCACTTCCAGTGCTCTAGAGCCCAGACCCCTCTCTAAGGTGATGAGTTTCAGAGAAGGTGCCAGCTTACACCACTAGAGGAAATTTCCTCACTTCCAATTTCCTCATGCCAATGAAATCCCAGGTCCAGGTCATCCACCAATGACCACATGAACGCAGCATGACATCACTAAAAGAACACAGGGCTTAGAACCAGGAAGACATGGGAGATTTTATATATATATATATATATATATATATATATATATATATATATATATATATATATATACACACACACACATATATATGTATACACATATGTGTATATGTGTGTGTATATACATATTTGTATATATACATGTGTGTATGTGTGTATATGCACACATATATACATACCTACATACACACATACGTAAATATGATTATTTTCCCCAATTACATTTTAAAACAATTTTTAAATATTTTTTGAAGTTTTGAGTTTCAAAGTCTATCCCTTCCTACCTTCCATCCCCCCTCCTTGAGATAGTAAGCAATCCAATATAGGTTATACATGTACAACCAAGTAAAACATTTCCATATTAGTCCTTTTGTACAAGAAGATGAATTTTAAAAATGCAAGGAAGACAGTGAAAAACAGCATGCCTCATTCTGTGTTCAAACAATATCAATTCCTTCTCTGAAAGCAGACAGCGTACATTCCTGAGTCCTTTGGAATTGCCTTGGGTCATTGTACTGCTGAGCAGAGCTAAGTCATTCAGAGTTCTCTGTTACTATATACAGCATTCTCCTGGTTCTGCTCACTTCACTATCCATCAGTTCATACAGGTCTTTCCAGGCTTTTCTGAAATCATCCTGCTTGTCATTTCTTATAGTATAATAATATTCCATAGCAATCTTATGCCATAGCTGTTTAGTTATTCCCTAATTGATGGGCATCCTCTCTATTTCCAATTCTCAGCAGCCGCAAAAAGAGCTGCTATAAACATTTTTGCACATATAGGTCTTTTTCCCTTTTCCCCTTTCCCTTTTTTTGAATGTCTTTGGTTTATAGACTTAACAGTGACATTGCTGGATCAAAGGGTATGCAGTTATATAGCCCTTTGGGCATAGTTCCAAATTGCTCTCCAGAACAGTTGGATCAGTTCACAACTCCACCAACAGTACATTAGTGTCAAGGACCTAGATTCTAACCTCAGCTATGCCAATTATTGCTTGTATGACCTCAAGCAAATTACTTTGCCTCTAAGAACCTGTTTCCTCACCTGTAAAATGAAAGGGTTTAAACTGTTTCATCTCAGGTCCCTTTAATCCATTTCAATCTTTTAATCTATGACCTATTAAGTCATAGACTTGCTGCATCTTCATAGGTGGGGCTCATTGCCTCACCTTACAAAATTAGAGATCCTTGACATGCTCCTTTGTATATTAGCGTAATATATTTTTCTTTCACATTTGGAAACTGCATATGCAAATATACAGGCATGATCATACAGGCACGACTCAAGTTGTTGCATTGTGTTGTTAAAATTAGAACACAGGGGGCAGAGCCAAGAGAGCAGAGTAACAGCAGTGACTTGCCTGAGCTCTCCTCCAAACCCCTCCAAATACCTGTAAAAAATGGCTCTAAACAAATTCTAGAGCAGCAGAACCCACAAAAAGACAGAGTGAAACAAATTTCTAGTCCAAGACAACATGGATGGTTGATCGGAAAGGTCTATTGACCTCCAGGCTGATCTAAGAGATGAACGCAGTTCAGCATGGGTGGGCAGGTAAAGACCAGGCTTCAGGAAACCTGGAGCAGGCCTCAAGGGACTGAATCAAGGTGAGCTATGGTGGTTTCCAGACTCATCAACCCACAGACACCAAGGACAACTTAGAAGGTCAGTGGGAAAGGTCTGTGACTGCAGTGAGAGAGCTCATTCCCAGCCCCAGCCCTAGCGCATCCCCAGGCAGTGACTGCTTCTGGAGCTTTCAGCCTACAGATGGAAGGAAATTGAGTGGCTGATCTGATGGGGATTGCAGGGATCTCTTTGCTGGTGCTGAGGCAGGATTCTCTTGCTTTGCCCATGCTTAGATCTGGATTGCAGTTCTGGGTGGTGGTCCTGGGGTGAGGAGGAGCGCTGGTGTACTGCAGCTTATGGTTCCAGGTTCACTATTCCAAGGCAGAAAAGAGTGCTTGTGGTCACTCATAGACCAAAGCACAGGCCAGGAAAGGAGTACACACCTCACCCTTGACCATACTACCTTAGAAGAATGGAAAATTTACAGGTCCCTACAAGTATCTCTGAAAAGAGCTGCACAAAACCCCCAAAGCTGGAGACAGTACATTCTCCATACTGGAAGCAGACTCCTACCTTAACAAAGAGTTTAAAAATCAAGTAATTGGCTGGAAACATGAGCAAACAGCACAAAAAAGTCAGACCATAGAATCTTTCTTTGGTGACAAAGAAGATTAAAACATACAACCAGAAAAAGACAACAAAATCAAAGTTCTTACATCCAAAGACTCCAAGAAAAATAGGAATCAATCCCAGGCCTTGGAAGAGCTCAAAAAGGATTTTGAAAAGCAAATAAGAGAAGTGGAGGAAAAGCCAGGAAGAGAAATGAGAGTGATGCAAGAAAATAATGAACAATGAGTCAACAGTTTACTAAAGGAGACCTAAAAAAATACTGAAGAAAATAACACCTTAAAAAAATAGCCTAACATAAATGGCGAAAGAGGTCCAAAAAGCCAATGAGGAGAAGAATGCCTTAAAAAGCAGAATTGGCCAAATGGAAAAGGAAGTCCAAAAGCTGACTGAAGAAAACACTTCCTGAAAAATTAGAATGGAGCAATTGGAAGCTAGTGACTTGATGAGAAATCAAGAAATTGTAAAACAAAACCAAAAGAATGAAAAAATAGAAGACAATGTGAAATATCTCATCGAAAAAACAACTGACCTGGAAAATACATCTAGGTGAGATAATTTAAAAAATTTTTGACTATCTTAAAACCAAGATCAAAAAAAGAGCCTAGACATCATCTTTCAAGAAATTAACAGGGAACACTGCCCTGATATTCCAGAACCAGAGGGTAAAATAGAAATTGAAAGAATCTACTGATCACCTCCTGAAAGAAATCCCCAAAGGAAAACTCCTAGAAATATTATAGCCAAATTCCAGAGTTCCCAGGTCAAGGAGAAAATATTGCAAGCAGCCAGAAAGAAATAATTCAAGTATTGTGGAAACACAATCAGGTTTAACACAAGATTTACCAGCTTCTACATCAAGGTACCAGAAGGCTTGGAATATAATTTTCTGGAGGTCAAAGGAGATAAGGATTACAACCAAAAATCACCTATCCAGCAAAACTGAGTATAATCCTTCAGGGGGGGAAATGGACATTCAATGAAATGGAGGACTTTCAGGCATTCTTGATGAAAAGACCACAGCTAAATACAAATTTTGACTTTCAAATACAAGACTCAAGAGAAGCATGAAAAGGTTAACAGGAAAGAGAAATCATAAGGTACTTATTAAAGTTGAACTGTTTACATTCCTACATGGAAAGATGATATTTGTAACTCATGAGACCTTTATCAGTATTAAGGTAGTTGGAGCGGAAAAAATTATATGTAGATAGATAGATAGATAGATAGATAGATAGATAGATAGATAGATAGATAGATAGATGGCACAGGGTGAGTTGAAGATGAAGAGCTGATATCTAAAAAATAAAATTAAGGTGTGAGAGAGGATTATACTGGGAGGAGGAGAAAGTGAGAGGTAGAATGAGGTAAATTATGTCACATTAAACAGATAAGAAAAAGCTTTTACAGTTTAGGGGAAATGAGGGAAGGTGAGAGGAAATTAGTGAATCTTATTCTCATCGAATTTGGCTTAAGAAGGGAATAATATACACACTCAATTGTGTATGGAAACCTATCTTACCCTACAGGAAAATAGGGGGGAAGGGTATAAGGAGGGGATGACAGAAGGGAGGGCAGATTGGGGCAGGGAATTATGAGAAGCAAATACTTCTGAGGAGGGACAGGGTGAAAAGAAAATATAATAAACGGGGAGTGGTATAGGATGAAGGGAAATATAGTTAGTTTTTCACATGACTACTATGAAAATGTTTTGCATGACTATGCATGTATAACCTGTATTAAGTTGCTTGCCTTCTCAATGAAAGTGAGTGGAGAGGGAGGAAAGGAGAAAATTTAGAACCCAAAGTTTTAAAAACAAATGTTAAAAATTGTTTTCACATGCAACTGGGAATGGGGTATAGAAATCTATCCTGCAGTGCAGGAAAATAGAAGGGGAAGGAGATAAGGAGGTGGGGATGATAGAAGGGAGGGCAGATTAGGGGAAAGGGTATTCAGAATGCATGCCTTCTTGGGGTGGGGGAGGGGTGAAATGGGGGAAAAA